AGTAAAGGCTGAAACACCCCTAGAGAAGAGGGTTAGGGGAACTGCCCATGTTGAGGGAGGGAGAGGCAGTTACAGATTACAGTAGGCTGGAAAATGAAGGAGAGGTAAGAGGCATGAAGAAGGCAAAGGATCACAAGTGTGGGGCAGGCATCTTTAGCTGTGTGGTCAGTGTTATTCAGTCATGAGAGCTCAGGCTTTCTAACAGACGGTGTCTTACATCAACCGTGTGACATGGGCACTGTTTTTTGTCTCTGTCTTACAAATAAGGAAACTTTTGCATGTTGAACTTGTAAATACAGGCTGAGCGCGGCGACTCATGCCTGCAATCCCATTACTTTGGGAGGCCGAGGTGAGATGATCACTTGAGGTCAGGAGTTTGAGACCAGCCTGGCCAATATAGTAAAACCCCGTCTCTACTAAAAATATAAAAATTAGTTGGGCATGATGGCAGGTACCTGTAATCCCAGCAACTGGAGAGGCTGAGGCAGGAGAATCGCTTGAACCCAGGAGGTGGTGGTGCAGTGAGCCGAGATCATGCCACGGCACTCCAGCCTGGGTGACAGAGCAAGATCCCATCTCAAAAAAAAAATAAATAAAAGAAGAACGTGCAAATACAGAATGTTGTCTCTCCAGGTAGGAATGGGAGGTGTGACCTTAAACATACCTGCAGTAGGAAGATATCATAGGGAAAACCACCCGAAGAGAATCTTATGTGTACAAGGTTAAAACCCTAAGGCTCAGCATGTGGCAGGCAAGTGAATATATATTTTGGAGCTTACTCACATTTGGATTTGTCCTACATTAATGGAGAAGGGTGTCACTGTGTTCTTGGGCCCCTCTCTCATTGGCTCATTGTCTCTCCTGTCCAGGAAGAGGAAGACAGATTTGGTTGAGGGGACTTATCTCTAACAGCAGCCTCTTGTTGATCTTCCCAGACAAGACCCCCAACCACCACCCTGGGCTGGACCCCTCTCTACAGCTAGGAGCCAATGGCAGAAGACAAAACCAAACCCACTGAGCTGGACCAAGTGAAATATGATGCTGATGACAATGTGAAGATCATCTGCCTAGGAGATAGCGCAGTGGGCAAATCCAAGTATGTTGGGAGATTAGGGAAGAAATACCAGTCCCAGAGAGGGTCTGGGTCATTTAAAAAGTCCTCTATCAGGCTGGCCAACATGGCAAGACCCCATCTCTACTAAAAATAGAAAATTAGCCTGGCATGGTGGCACACGCCTATAATCCCAGGTACCTGGGAGTCTGAGGCAGGAGAATTGCTTGAACCTGGGAGGCAGGAGGTTGCAGTGAGCCGAGATTGCATCACTGCATTCCAGCCTAGGCAACAGAGTGAGACTCCATCTCAAAAAAAAAAAAAAAGCCTCCAGAGGCAGAGGAGCATGGCTTCTCAGGGCTGGTGAAGGAGCAGTCTTGGCTGCAGCCTAGATATTCATAGGGGAACGAGGGGAATCACTTGCACAGTTGTGTGTGTTTCAGGGACAGGGTCAGGTCATGAGGATTGAGGAATTTCAGTGTTCCCTCTGAGCCCTGTGAGAAGGTGTGGCGCAGTTGAGGACATTGTATGTGGTATGCGGGCTGAGGGATTGCAAGGGCAGGGAGTGGCAATGGGAAGTCAAAAGTGACTATGCAACCATGACACATTGGTAAAGGTGGTAAAGATGCTTTCTTGGAGGGACTCTCTGAGATGGAGAAAACTGGGTAGAACTGACGATTTACTATAATCATTGTAAAGATTGGTGTATACTTTTAAAAAGCCAATTGCAGTTGGGGTTAGGGTTAGGGTTGGGTTTATGGTTAGGGTAGGGGTTCAGGTTAGATGTTTAGGGTTAGGATTAGTGGTTAGGGCTAGGGTTTAAGGGTGGGGGTTGAGGTTGAGGTTAGGGTTAGGGTTAGGGTTACAGGCGTGAGCCATGTGCCCGGCCGGGAAATGGCTTTCGAATGGAAGGAACAGCCTTCCTGGTCTGTGTTTCCCTGTGCAAACACAAGAGTAATTGTGCAGCCTTGTGCTGAGATGGAAATAACAGATTTGAGAGCTTCACATGCATGGTCTGTGTACTCTAGTGATATGAGCTGTTTTGTTATGACGGGTTCTGTGTGGTTGTATTATGAAAGGGGAAAGGGAAGCCTTAAGTGGCTTCCCGGTTGTCAGCCTTAGGGTGATAAAGATTGGAACAATAGGCCGGGCGTGGTGGCTCATGCCTATAATCTCAGCACTTTGGGAGGTTGAGGCAGGCGGATCACCTGAGGTCGGGAGTTCAAGATCAGCCTGATCAACATGGATATACCCAACCTCTACTAATAATCCAAAAATTAGCTGGGCGTGCTGGCACATGCCTATAATCCCAGCTACTCAAGAGGCTGAAGCACGAGAATCGCTTGAACCTGGGAGGGAGAGGTTGCGGTGAGCCGAGATGGCGCCATTTCACTCCAGCCTGGGCAACACAAGTGAAACTGTCTCAAAAAAAAAAAAGGTTTGGGACAATGGTGAGAAGGATATGCCATCTGACCACCTTGCCTCTTCTGCTGACAGACTCATGGAGTGATTTCTCATGGATGGATTGTATCCTTCAAGTTTGAAATACCCCTTGTTCCTGTGGGTCTTCCCATGCTCATGTATCTGTGCCCCACTGCCCACCCCTTTGTATTAGCAGCCCAGGAAGAAGGATTGGGTAACTGAATGCACAGGTTTTGTTCCGCACTGGTTTCTTGCTGATTGACCCACATGGCATTGCAAATCAGTGCTGTCTATTTTGGAGCTTACTCATATTTGGATTTGTCTTACATTAAGAGGGCAGTAGAATGGCTAATAGCACGTGGTCTGGATCCAAACCCCATCTCTTCCTCCTCATTAGCTCCTGATACTGGGCAAGTCACTTAACCTCTCTACCTCAAAGCTTGGGGCCCCTACTATTGAACAAATCTCTGATATGAATGAACTTTATAAAATAGGGGCTGCCAGCCCCACCTTCCTCCCATGAATTGTTATATTGTATAGGTTTGCAGTGAGTTCATCCCTCTTACTGGGAGATGTTTTATACAGCTTCCCAAGTGGATCCACTGAGAACCACAGATGAGAAGAGCCCCTGGAGCCTGCTGCTCCCTGTCCTAGGCTCAGCACCCCAAGGTTCAGTTGTCTTAAGAGCTGAGTATGTCTTACTCCACCTTGTACCAGGTGCTTCTGCACACCCAGCCCACCTGCGTCACTTGGCTCTGCTGGTTACACCATCTGGCATCTTCCAACCTCAGAAGGTGCTAATCCCTAGAGTTTAACCATTTTTCTCAGGGTTTCACACATAGGCAGACTCCAAATTGATTGACAGCATGCCAGCTGTATGGCTTGTGGGAGTTTTTTTTTTTCCCCTGGAATGGTCATGTTGCTACCTAGTGTTAGGGTTTCCTTTCTAGCATGAAAAAGCTCCATCCTTGATGGAGTTGGGGCATCTACATTTGCATTTTCCAACTGCATGATGCCATTGATGACACTTGTCTGTAAAATCCTGTTCTGTGTTTTACCTCAGACTTCGATGGCCAGGACACACTCACATCCCCTCCCACCCCTAACCCTTCCATGGAGCTTGAACCAGTGATATGTGAAGCTGATCCTCTGCAACATTCCTTTGATTTAAAATCTCAATAACTCCAAAGAGAAGAGGAAGGAGAGGGTCCATTTCATCAAACCAAACACCCCTACTCCCCACTCCTTCCTTACCTCCCCTTTTATTGGTTTTTGCTCCTTACCCTGAATGCAGTCAGCCACAGCAGCTGTCCATGTATGCCCTGACCATGTACAAGCACACAGCCATGGTAGATGGCAAGACCATCCTTGTGGGTAAGCAGCACAGGACCAAGCCATGCTGACCCTCAGGAAAGAAGAAATGGGAGAGGAGGGGAAGTGAGGGAATGTTCATAAGGAGAGAATCCAGAGGAAGAAAATGAGACCCTAGGCAGGGACAAGAAGTGGCAGAGAGAACCCAGAGAGCCAGGAGGCCATGGAGGGTGGAAGGAAGCACACAGAGGCCAAGTGCCAGCTCTCCCACATGGTGTCCAGGCCAGCACTGGTGTGCAGGACAGGGTTCAGGAGTAGAAGTCCGGAGGCTGTACCTGTCAGAGGGAAGAAGAACATAAGAGGCCTTCAACAAGTCGGTAGTTTTCCTAGCTTTATTAATACTTAAGGAAGTGACAATTAAAACAATACTGAAATATCTTTGGGAGGCTGGAGTGAGCAGAACGCTTGAGGCCAGGAGCTCAAAACAAGCCTGGCCAACATGGGGAGACCCCATCTCCTCTAAAAATACAAAAAAAAAAAAAAATTAGTTGGGCGTGGTGGCTTGTGCCTGTGGTCCCGGCTACTTGGGAGGCTGAGGCACAAGAATAGCTTGAACCCATGAATCGGAGGTTGCAGTGAGCTAAGACTGCACCACTGCACTCCAGCCTAGGAGACAGAGCAAGGACCTGTCAAAAAAAAAAAGATCAGTAATATTTACTGCTGGGGAAGGCTACGGGCACTCTCTTGCTAACCCTAAACCCTGACTCTGACCCTGACCTCATGATACTGTTCCCTGCAATCCCTCAGGTATGTTTCCTTTCTGCTAATTTTTAGCCTCCAACCTTCTAACCCTTAATACTATAAATACTAAACCAACCCATACCCATACCCAATCCCATCCCCAATTTAATAATACACTAGGACTTGACATCACAAGAACAGAAAGGTATATAGATCAGTGTCTAGTATAATTATTCAATTAATAATGCTCAATAAAAGAATTGTAATTTCACATTAGCATGTTTTTAAAGATTACACGCCATGATAATTAAATCCTTTTCTCAGAAAATCAAGCTGTTTTTGCATACTAAAACCATCCCTGCAAATTAACATCAAATAAATAGAATGAAGAAAAAGCCCACATAATAATCTTAACAGATGCAGGAAGTACTTTCAACAAAGTCAATATAATTTCATCATAAAAACACCCAAAAACTAGGGATATGAATTTTCAAAACACAACCATGGGCCTTTAGCACCATCTCCATTGTTAGGGCCCAATGCTTTACTACTAAGATCAGAACCAAGGCACCAATGCTCATTTTCATCACTGTATTCGACATTGTACTGGAAGTTCCATGCAGAACAAATAGGAAAGAAAAAGTAGTAAAGAGCATTCATATGTGTAAGGAAGCAGTAAAACTGTCATAGATCACGTGATCTATGTTAGGTACAGAAAATTATGAGGAACCCCCCCCCCAAAATATTATTAAAACTAGTAAATAGATTCAGCAAAGTTACAACACAAAATGTCAATACACAATAATCTGCTGTTTTTCTAGACACTAGCAACAAACAACATGAGAATGTAATTAAGAAAACAATTCCGGGCTGGGGGTGGGGGCTCACACCTGTAATACCAGGACTTTGAGAGGAGGTGGGAGGATCTTTTGAACCCAGGAGTTTCAGGCCAGTATGGGCAACACAAGGAAACCCTCTCTCTACAAATAATTTAATAATTAGCTAGGTGTGGTGGTGCATATCTATACTCTTAGTTACTTGGGAGACAGAGGAGGGAGTATTGCTTGAGCCCAGGAGGTTGAGGCTGCAATAAGCCACGTTCACACCACTGCACTACAACGTGGGCAACAGAGCAAAACCATGCCTCCAAAAACAAACAAACAAACAAAAAAGACAGATAAGAAAAATAAATTCCATTTTTAAAAATCAGCAGGCTGGACATAGTAGCTGACACCTGTAATCCCCATGCTTTGGGAGGCCAAGAGGGGAGTATCATTTGAGGCCAGCAGTTTGAGGTCAGCCTAGGCAAGACAGCAAGACCCCAACTGTACAAAAATCAAAAAATTAGTCAGGTGTGGTGGTGCACACCTGTAGTCCCAGCTACTTGGGAGGCTGAGGCGGAAGGATCACTTGAGCCCAGGAGATAGGGGCTGCAGTGAGCTATGATCATGCCACTGCACTCCAGCCTGGGAAACAGAGTGAGACCCTGTCTTCAAAAAAAGAAACTGCTCATATAAATATGGGTTTACTTCTGGACCCAAAATTCAGTTCCATTCATCTATACATGCATCCTTATGCCAGAATCATGTTGTTTTTATTACTGTTGCTTTGTAGTAAGATCTGAAATTTGGAAATGTGAGATTATGAGGTTTGTTTTTTTTTTTTGACATTATTTTGGCTATTTTGCATCCCTTGAAATTTCATATACATGACAGGATCAGCTTGTGGATTTCTGCCAAAAGGACTTTGGGATTTTAACAGGAATTGCAATGAATTTGTAAATGGCTTTGTGTAATATTGCCATATTAAAAATTGTTAAGTCTTCTAGTTTATGAACATGAGGTATCTTTACATTTATGTATGCTTTCTTCAATTTAAGCAATGTTTTGAAATTTTCCATGTACATGTCTTGTACGTTGGTTAAATTTATTCCAAAGAATATGATTACTGTTGATTGTTTTTTGAGAGACTCTCACACTGTCGCCTGGGCTGGAATGCAGTGGCATAATCCTAGCTCTATAGCCTCAATCTCCTGGGCTCAAAAGATTCTCCCACCTCAGCCTCTAGAGTAACTGGAACTACACAAGCATGCCACCATCACTAGTTACCTTTTCAATATTTTTGTAGGGATGGTGTCTGGCTATGTTGCCCAGCTTTCATTCTAAAATTTTTAAAAATTCTAAAATTTTGGTCATGAATTAGGCATAAATACTGTGATGGTTAATTTTTTTTTTTTTTTTCAAGGAGTCTTGCTCTGTCACCCAGGCTGGAGTGCAATGGCACAATCTTGGCTCATTGCAACTTCTGCCTCCTGGATTCAAGTGATTCTCTTGCCTCAGCCTCCCAGGTAGCTGGGATTCCAGGCACACGCCACCACACCTGCCTTATTTTTTGTATTTTTAGTAGAGATGGTGTCATCATGTTGGCCAGGGTGGTCTCAAACTCCTGACCTCGTAATCCACCCACCTTGGCCTCCCAAAGTGCTAGGATTACAGGCATGAGCCACTGCTCCTGGCCTGTGATGGTTAATTTTAGGTGTAAACTTTACTGGATTAAGGGATACACAGCTATTAAAGCACTATGTCTAGGTATGTCTGTGAGGGTATTTTTAGAAAACATGTCATACTGGTATGACATATCATGGCATATCATAATACTGATATGACACCCACAAGACTGCTGTGACACCTGTAAGACTGATGTGACACCCACAATACTGATGATACCTGCAAGACTGCTATGACCCCCCCCATAAGACTGATGTGACACCTGTAATACCTGATATGACATCCATAAGACTGACATGGCACCACAAAATTCATATGACACTCCTGAGATTCAGATATGACACCCGTAAGACTGATATGATGCCCATAAGACTGATGTGACACCCACAATAGTGATATGATCCCCATAAGACTGATGGGACACCCACAATACTGATATGACACCTATAACACCAATATGACACCTGCAATACAAATATGATACACACAATACTGATATGACACCCACAATACTGCTAACACACCCCTAAGACTCATATGACACCTGTAATACTGATGACACCGTAAGGCTGATATGACAGCTACAATATTGATATAGCATCGAGATTCTCACCAGGGCTCTTGGTACACAGCTTCCACTGACCTGGATTTGGATGGGGTTTGGCCTCTATAATGAAGTTTGATGTTGTCTCTGCTTTACTGACATGGCATTGATGTGGTTGTTTATAATTTCTTTTCCAGTAATTTCATATTTCTAGGAATCTTGCAATAGCAGTGTAAAGTGTAACATCTCTTCTCTTAAAGATTCCCCAGCAGTTACTGCAACTCCACAGAAAATACTCCAATGTATTTAACCAAAGAAAGACAGCCTCCAAAGAAATACAAGGTTTCTACCTGACAGTCCAATCCACAGACCCATTTCACTTCACTGCCTGCCCCAACTGGGAGAAAAAAAATGTCTCTTTCCATTTGGATTCAGTCTCATCTGCCTACAGTCTCATCTGCTCTCATGTTCCCCCAAACCATTTACCCAATGTCCACCCTTATCAAATATGTCTAAGACACTGTCCAGCCAAATCCTTAAAGTCATAGCAGTTGTGATATCTAACAAGTTAACATTGTGGTTTTTCTAAAAACAAAAATGTATTTATTTGCTAGATAATCTGCAAGAATCACCCTCAATTTGTACATCAAATAAATAGTTTAATAGAACAAAAGTCCATATATGAGATAATTAGTAAAGAAAAACAAAATCTCAGTGTTGAATGAAAAACAAATGGCAAGACTAATTACTGAAACTTAATAACATGCTGGGCTGAGTGTGGTGGTTCATGCCTGTAGTCCCAGCTACTCGGGGGGCTGAGGTGGGAAGATGGCTTGAGGCCAGGAGGATGCACTGAGCCAAGATGGTGCCACTAAACTCCAGGCTGGGCAACAGAGCCAAACCTTAAAAACACTCCCCTCCTGAATCTCTTCAGGGAGCCAGACAGAATTCTCTCTTCTGCTGCCTCCCTTGTGTTTGAATATAAAACACAAAAATAAAAGCTTTGTGGAATAAATTTAACCAAGCTAAACAAAACACTTAAACAAAAGCTTTGTCTGGGAAACTTGCTCAGCCTCATCTCAATTTCTGTTACTGGAGAGCCAAGAAACTCTGGTCAGTAACAATACCACTGACAGCGGGGTCCTGCAAGAGGTACTGTATTAGGTAGAAATTAATTTAAAATCATTAAAGATTGTCATTGGGTCATGAGAAATTGTCAAATATAACAATTCTCTCAATTGAAAAGCTAAACTAAGAAGTATATTTTTAAAATATTATTGATGGAAACAGATACATAGGATTAAGAATTCTGTTGAAGACTAGAAAGAGATAAATTAGAAGTCAAGAGAAATTTTTTGAATCAAACTGGAAACCTTGGGAAAATGGGCGATTTCATAGTAAAAATACATGTTAACAAAATGGACTTTAAAGGAAAATTTAAATACACCAATTTTCATAGAAAAGCTTGAAATGATGCTTACAGATCTCCCATTAGAAAAGGACCTCAGAGACCAGGTGTGGTGGCTTACACCTGTAATCCCAGGACTTTGGGAGGACGAGGTGGGCAGATCACTTGAGGTCAGGAGTTTGAGACCAGCCTGACCAACATGGTGAAACCCCATCTCTACTAAAAATACACCAGAAAATTACGCGGCCGTGGTGGCACACTGTCGTTAGTCCCTGCTACTCAGGAGGCTGAGGCATGAGAATTGTTTGAGCCCAGGAAGCTGAGGTTGCAGCGAGCGGAGATTGTGCCATCACTGCACTCCAGCCTGGACAATGAAGGGAGGAAGAAAAGGAACCCAGGCCAGGCGCAGTGACTCACGCCTGCAATCCCAGCACTTTGGGAAGCCGGGGCGGGTAGATCACTTGAGGTCAGGAGTTCGAGACCAGCCTGGCCAACATAGTGAAACCGCTCTCTACCAAAAATACAAAAATTAGCTGAGCATGGTAGCAAGTGCCTGTAGTCCCAGCTACTCCAGAGGCTGAGGCAGGAGAATCGCTTAAACTCGGGAGGCGGGGACTGCAGCGAGCTGAGACCTGGCTACTGCATCCAGCCTGGGTGACACAGTGAGACTCAGTCTAAAAAAAAAAAAAAATGGAAAAGAACACCGCCATGTTCTCACTCATAGGCAGGTGTTGAACAATGAGAACACATGGACACAGGGAGGGGAGCAGTACACACTGGGGTCTGTTGGGGGGAAATAGGGGAGGGACAGCGCGGGGTGGGGAGTTGGGGAGAGATGGCATGGGGAGACAAAACCTAAAATGCAATTAAATAAATAAATAAATAAATAATAAAATTAAAGAGAAAAAAAAAAAACAAAAACAGGGCCATACAGGTTTACAGCTTAGCGTTAACTAACGTTAATGTGCCTATTTTTCTGTTTTGCTGTGTTGTTTCCACTACATTAATAAACAAGGGACTAAAACACCAAGCACTGGCCGGGCGCTGTGGCTCACGCCTGTAATCCAAGCACTTTGGAGGCCAAGGCGGCGGATCACCTGAGGTCAGGAGTTCAAGACCAGCCTGAACAACATGGGGAAACCTCGTCTTTAAAAAAAAAAAAAAAAGACCCCAGGGCCATACAGGTTTACAGCTAAGTGTTAACTAGCGTTAATGTGCCTACTTTTCTGTTTTGCTGTGTTGTTTCCACTACATTAATAAACAAGGGGTTAAAACACCAAGCACTGGCCGGGCTTAGTGGCTCACGACTGCAATCCTAGCACTTTGAGAGGCCGAGGTGGATGGATCACCTGAGGTCGGGAGTTCAAGACCAGCCTGACCAACATGGTGAAACCCCGTCTTAAAAACAAACAAAAAAAAACACCAAGCACTGATCCTAGGCGCCTGTTTCTGCGGTCTCAGGCTGTGGCCGACGGTTCCTCCTCCTCTCCCGGTACCGGGGTATCTCCCCAGAAGCGCACTCGCATCCATAACGGCATCTTGGCCTGTGTGGGAGTGACACGCCCAAGCCTCCAAGAACTGACGCTCCCACAAAGTGCCCAACGGAAAACGCGGCTGTGCTCCCTCCGCCGCACTCAGCGGGGACGGGAAACCTTTTCCTCACCTTGGACGCGGCCCCGGGTGTCTCGAAGCGGCCTCTCCCAAGCGGGTCCTGATGAAAGGAAGCTGAGTCCTCACAATACACGCCCAGGACGCCGCCATGCGGATGAGGCGCAGTGCGCACGCTCTTCTTTGGCAGGAGCCGGGCGCCCCCTTGCGGCAGGCCTGGGGAATCGCTGAAAATCCGCGTCTGGATTTTTCCAGGCCGCGATTTTGGAAATTTATTTTTTATTTTATATTTTATTTTATTTATTTTATTTTATTATTTTGTTTATGTTATTTTTTATTTTATTTTATTTTAGGTTTGGGGTACATATGAAGAACATGCAAGATTGTTGCATAGGTACACACATGGCAGTGTGATGTGCTGCCTTCCTCGCCATCACCTATATCTGGCATTTCTCCCCATTCTCTCTCTCCCCAACTCCCCACCCCCCGCTGTCCCTCCCCTGTTTCCCCCCAACAGACACCAGTGTATGATGCTCCCCTCCCTGTGTCCATGTGTTCTCATTGTTCAACACCCGCCTATAAGTGAGAACATGCGGTGTTTGATCTTCTGCTCTTCTGTCAGTTTGCTGAGAATGATGGTTTCCAGGTTCATCCATGTCCCTACAAAGAACACGAACTCATCGTTTTTGATGGATGCATAATATTCCATGGTGTATATGTGCCACATTTTCCCTGTCCAGTCTATCATCGATGGGCATTTGGGTTGTTTCCAGGTCTTTGCTATTGTAAACAGTGCTGCAATGAACATTTGTGTGCATATGTCCTTATAGTAGAACAATTTATAATCCTTTGGATATATACCCAGTAATGGGATTGCTGGGTCAAATGGAATTTCTATTTCTAGGTCCTTGAGGAATCGCCACACTGTCTTCCACAATGGTTAAACTAATTTACACTCCCACCAACAGTGTAAAAGTGTTTCTATTTCTCCACATCCTCTCCAGCATCTGTTGTCTCCAGATTTTTTAATGATCGCCATTCGAACTGAAATGAAATTGAATCCGCCGTCCCGTGCCTTGATCGGAACGCACGGAGGTAGCAAGCAAAGAAAATGATCAGTTCACGCCTGTAATCCCAGCACTTTGAGAGGCCAAGGTGGGTGGATCACTTGAGGTCAGGAATTCGAGACCAGCCTGGCTAACATTGCGCAACCTGGTCTCTACTAAAAATACTAAAGTTAGCTGGGCATGGGGGCACGTGCCAGTAATCCCAGCTACTCGGCAAGCTAAGGCAGGAGAATTGCTTGAACCCACGAGGCAGATATTGATCCTGTCACTGCACTCCAGCCTGGGTGACAGAGCCAGACTCTGTCTCAAAAAAAAAAGATGGTCAGTAGATGAAACTTAATTGATTTTCTTTCTTTTCTTTTTAAGAGAGAGGGTCTCACTCTGTTGCCCATGCTGGAGTGCAGTGGCATAATCGCAACTCCCAGGTTCAGCTTCCAGCTCCCCGGTTCTAAGAGATTCTCCAGCCTCAGCCTCCCAATGCACTGGGATTACAGGTGTGCACCACCACACCCGGCACCATCTGATTTTCTTTTATTTATTTATTTTACTTTTTAAGGGGTGGGGCAGGTCTAGCTATGTTGCCCATGCTGGTCTAGAACTGCCAAGCTCCAGTGATCCTCCCAACCAGGCCTTCCAAAGTGCTAGAATTACAGGTGTAATCCTAGCCACCACGCACTGCCTGATTTTCCCTCTATCAGCAGCAATGTATAGGAATAATTTGGACTTGAAATTTTTAAAAATACCATTTACAATAGCACCCCCACAAGTGAATTTATAGGCATAAATCTAACAAAATACATACAAATATGCATTCAGAAAACCTTGGATCACGGTTGAGAGGAATAAAAAAATATATAAATGAATGCAAATACTCCTTGTTTAGGAGCAGTACACTCATTAATGTTAGCTTCACCACAAAGCTAAAGTAATGAAGAGAGTGATATTGGTGAAGGAATGGACAAACAGATAAACAGAACACAATACAGAACCCAAAAAACCTGAGTAAATACAGTCAACTTATTTTGTCAAAGGGGCAAAAGCAATTCATCGGGGAAATAAAAGTCTGTTCCACAAATGGTAACAGAGCAATCGGAAACCATAGGGGAAAAAATGAACGTAGACAAAAACCTCATAGCTCATCCCAAAAAAACACTCAAGACAGTCTATAGACTTAAATTTTCAAATACAAAATTGTAAAAGTTACAGAAGAAAATCCACATGACTTTGGGTTGGTGATGACTTCTTAAATACCATATCAAAAGCCAGTCCATAAAAGAAATAAATGAGAATGTGGACTTCATTAAAATTTAAAATGACTACTCTGTGAAATATCTTGTTAAGAGAATCAAAAAACAAGCCACAGACTGAGAGAAAATATTCACAAAACAACCCTGAAAAAGACTTGTGTGCAAAATATACAAAGAAATTCTAATACTCAACAAGAAGAAGAAAAAAACCTGAATTAAAATATAAAGACACCTCACCAAAAAATATACAGATGCTATGCCTGGATGCAGTGGCTCATGCCTGTAATCCCAGCACTTTAGACAGTGGAGGCAGGTGATCACTTGAGGCCAGGAGTTCAAGACAAGCCTGGCCAGCATGGCAAAACCTCGTCTCTACTAAAAATACAAAAATTAGCCAGGCTTGATGGCACATGCCTGTAATCCCAGCTACTCGGGAGGCTGAGGCAGGAGAATCACTTGAACCTGGGAGGCAGAGGTTGTAGTGAGCTGAGATGATGCCACTGCACTCCAGCCTGGGCAACAGAGGAATACTCCATCTCAAAAAAAGAAAGAAAGACAGAAAGAAAGAAAAGAAAAATACACAGATGGCAAACAAGCATCCAAAATAATGCTCAATAGCACTTGGCATGAGGGAAAAGCAGATTAATGTAACAATGAGGACCACTGAACATCTACTAAAATGGCTAAAATCTTTTTTTAATGCAATGAAAATTGCAACAGTAACTCTCATTCAATGCTAGTGGAATGTATAATGGTACGTTGGCTTCAGAAGACAATTTGGCAGTTTTTCGCAAAGCTAAACATGTTCTCACCATAAAAGCCAGCAATTGCACTCCTAGCTATATAGATAACTGCTTTGTAAACTTAGGTCCAAATGAAGACCAATATGCAATTATGTACAGCTGATCTTTTCAAAATGGCCAAATACTTTAAGGAGTCAGGATGGCCTTCAATAGATGAATGAATAACCAAGCTGGGTACATCCATGGAATGGAATGCTATTCAGTAAGAGGAAGGAGTGATCTGAGGTCAGGAGATCGAGACCATCCTCGCCAACATGGTGAAACCTCGTTTCTACTAACATACAAAAAAACAGCCGGGCGTAGTGGCTCATACCTGTAGTCCCAGCTACTTGGGAGGCTGAGGCAGAGGAATCACTTGAATCTGGGAGGTGGAGATCGCAGTGAGCCGAGATCGCACCACTGTACTCCAGCCTGACAACAGAGCAGGACTCCTCAAAATTAAAAAGAGAAAGAGAGAGAAAGGGGTGACGCATGAAGCCATGCAAAGATGTGTATGAATCGACATATATATCACTAAGTGAAAGAAGCCAGTCAGAAGAGATCACAAACTGTATGATCCCAAAGGAAAAACTACAGATATGTTAAACAGATCTGTGATTGATAGTGGTTTGTATGGGGTAGAGGGGTGAGTTAAATAGGGGAATAGGACGATGGAAGGAGGCAAAATGGGCCAGGTGGGAGTGGACTCAGGTGGGTGAGATTGTGCTGGGTGTGTGTGAGAGAGCCTGGGGCATGCAGTGGCAGCATGAACAAAAAGGCTGCTTATCACTTTAGGAGATAAGGGTCTCCTTTCATCATACATGAAACTATTTCAGGGTAAGTTCTGAAGAAGACTGTGCTGTGTGCGGTATAATTTACCATTTTAATCATTTGTTGTGGGGAAAGACACATGACATAATAGTTACCATTTTAAACGTTTTTAAGTGTGTATTTCCGTGGCACTATCATCTCACATTCTCACCAGCAATGCACGAGGGCTCCAATTTCTCCATATACTCACTAACACTAGTTAGTTTCCATTTTAAAAAAAGATAGTCACTCCAAAGGGTATGAAATGGTATCTCATTGTGGTTTTGATTTTCATTGATCTAATGGCCAGTGATATTGAGCCTCTTTTCATGTGTTTATTGGCATTGGATTTAGCAATGATTTTGAGTATGACACCAAAAGCACAGGAAACAAAAGAAAAAATAGGTAAGTTGGACTTCATCAAAATTTAAAACTTATGTACAAAATTTAAAACGTGGAACATCAAAGGACACTACCAAGAAAGTGAAAAGGAAACCAATCATATGGGAGAAAAACATTGCAAGTCGTATCTCCTAAAGGTATAATATCCAGAACATATAAAGAACTCAACAACAAAAAGACAACACAATTTGATAATGGAGAAAGACTTGAAAAGACTTTTCTCCAGAGAAGATACACAAATTGCACATGAAAAGATGCTCAACGTTACTAGCCATCAGGGAAAAGCAAATCAAAATTATAATAAGATACCACTTGACACCCATTAGAATAACTATTACCAAAAACAACAACAAGAAGTCTGGGCACTATGGTTCACGCCTGTCATCCCAGCATTTTGGGAGGTTGAGGTGGGCAGATCACTTGAGGCCAGGAGTTCGAGACCAGCCTAGCCAACATGCTAAAACCCTATCTCTACTAAAAATACAAAACTTTGCCGGGAGTGGTGGCACACACCTGTAATGCCAGCTACTGGGGAGGCTGAGGCAGGAGAATTCCTTGAACCTGGGAGGCAGAGGTTGGAGCAAGCTGTGATTGTGCCACCACACTCCAGCCTGAGTGACACAGTGAGACTCCATCTCAAAAAACAAAACAAACAGAAACTAACAAGTGATGACAAAGAAATGAAGAAATGTGAACATTGCCGATGGGAATGTAAACTGGCACAGCCTATGGAAAAGTTTGGAGGTTCTGCAAAAGGCTAAACATAAAATTACCATAGGACCCAGCAATTTCATTTCTAGACACATCACAAAAGAATTGAAAACAGGTATTCAAACAAAACCACGTACGTAAGTGTTCATAGCAGCCCTACTCACAATAACAAAAAAATGGAAATGTCCATCAAGAGATGACTCAACAAACAAAATGTGGTATATCTATACAATAATATGAATAATAATATTCAGTCATAAAAAGGATTGAGGTGCTCATATTTGCTACAACCTGGAAGAAGCTGTACACAAAACGTCACAGACTATATGATTCCATTCATACGAAATATCCAGAATAGGTATCCGTAGCAATAGAAAGCAGGTGAGTGGTGGCCAGGGGTCAGAGGGAGGGCAGATTAGGTCATAGCTGCTTAATAGGTGGGACTTCCTTTTGGGATGATAAAAATATTTTGAAACTAAGAGGTGATGGTTGCACAATATTGTGCATGCACTCAATGTCACTGAATTGTACATCTTAAAACAGTTAATTTTATAGTATGTGATTTTTACCTCAATAAAAACAGGAGGCTGGGTGTGGTGGCTCACGCCTGTAATCCCAGCACTTTGGGAGGCTGAGGCAGACAGATCACAAGGTCAGGAGTTCGAGACCGACCTGGTCAATGTGGTGAAACCCTGACTCTACTAAAAAAATTCAAAAATTAGCCGGACATGGTGGTGTGCACCTGTAATCCCAGCTACTCAGGAGGCTGAGGCAGGAGAATTGCTTGAACCTGGGAGGCGGAAGTTGCAGTGAGCCAAAATCGTACCACTGTACTCCAGCATGGGCAGCAGAATAAGACTCTGTCTCAAAATAAATAAAAATAAAAATAAAAATAAAATGAATAAAAAGAAGAAAACCCAGTCCCTAGTATTCCCTCACCAGGAATTGGCCTGGCATTCAAGTTTGTCCACAGTCCAATGCTGCCTGGGCCTGGCCAACCACATTCTGGACCTGTGCTCCAACCACACCGTCCACCAGCTCCTAAACCCACAGCATGGTCATTTCGGGTCCAGGTCACCTTATCTCTGAGGCCTTCACAGATGCCCAGTGATCAGCAACACCTCCTCAGGGCTCATAGGGTCTTTCGAAACTTGCCCTGCTATAAACCACACCTCATCACATGATCTCCAAGAGTTGTCGCATCTCTCTTCTTTCCCTCTCTCTCTCTCTTTTTTTTTTTTTTTTTGAGACAGGGTGTCATTCTGTCACCCGGGCTGGAGTGCAGTGGCACAATCTTGGCTCACTGCAACCTTTGCCTCCCAGGCTTAATCAGTCTTTCTGCCTCAGCCTCCCCAATACCTAGGACTATAGGCAAGCACCACCATGCCCAGCTAATGACTTTTGTGTTTTTTGTAGACATGGGATTGTGCTGTGTTGCCCAGACTGGTCTCAAACTTCTGGGCTCAAGCAATCTGCTTGCCTCAGCCTCACAAAATGCTGAGATTACAGGCATGAGCCGCCATGCCCGCCCTGTCTCATTCCAATAAGGAATTATTAGCTTTTTCTGAGTACCACTGTGTGTAGGTGTCTTGCTCAGGTGAACTCATATCAGTCTGCTAGGTATGGCTAGTGCTCTATGCAGAGGGGAGGGCCAGGCTAAGGTGACTAACTCACCTACGGTGCCTCAGCCTCCAGTGGCTTCACACTCAGGTTCCAGCCCAGAACCAGGTCTCCAGGGGCCACTTAGGGAAAGTTTGTGAGTTGAATGAAGATGTGTCCAGTCCATACAGGAGTGGCATCCCAACTGTGGGTTCGTTTGTGTGATCATGAGGTAGCCCAGGTCCCACAAGGAGCCTCATGAGCCACACAGATCCTGTTATATATAAACCAGCCCAGGGCTCCCCAGAGCCTAGCTCCAGGAAGCATATTCACACTAGTATTTTTATACTTGGTTAGATTAGAGCTGAGGATGCCTGTACCTTGCTTCCATCCACACCCTCCCACTCTCTGGATGCTAAAGATGTATTCTGGGGCCTGCTTCACCTCCACAGACCAGGATCCAGCTCTGCTGAGGCTCCCCACAAAACCCCAGAAGCTCTGCAGGCATGCAGGGTAGAAGGGCTGCCTATCTGACCCAGAAGGGGCTTTTGCCTTTGGGAGCCTCAGACTGCAGGTACTTCTTTCTGCTCAGGTTGCAGGGAGCATCAGAGCCCCCAAGAGAGCTCAGGACCCAGAGAGAGAACAGTGTCCATTTCATCCTGCCTTCAAACCCCCAGAGTGCTCCCAACCCCAGAGTACTCTTGATGCAGGGAAGGTGAGTCCAGAAATTGGGGCTTAGTACAGGAGGGCTTTTGGCTTCACCCAGGAAAGAATTAAAGAGCAAGTCGGTGGTGTTAGACAGCAACTTTTATTGAAGGAGCCGTGCACAGCAGCAGCAGAGGATACCCTTATGGAGCAGGAATACCCCATAGGCAGTGAGCTGAGTAGCAGCTCAGAGGCAGTTCTGCAATTATATTTATACCCACTTTTAATTATATGCAAATTAAGGGGCAGATTATTTAGACACTTCTAGAAAAGCGGTAGTAACTTTCAGGTTATTGCCATGGAAAAGGGCAGTATTTTCCAGGTGTTACCATGGAATGGCAAACTCACATGGCACTGGTGGATGTGTCTTATGGAGGGGTACTTTTGCCATTTCCCTGTATCAGCTACTCTACAGTCTGGTCCAGAGTTTGAGCCTTCCCTCAGGAGTCAGGTCCCACCTCCTATCTGAGTCTGGTCACAGCCCTAGCTAGGCAGATGATCCAAATGCCAGCCTAAAGCCCTGCAGTCAGGCCCTCCTGTGTTATGCCTGGGGCACCCAGGAAGAGGATGGGGCACACTAGGAGATGCCATGGTGTGTGGAACCAGTAGTCAGGCCCTCTAGGTTGAAGTCCTAATCCCAGTACTTGTGAATATGACCTTATATGGAAATAGTGTCTTTGCAGATGATCAAGTCAAGAGTAAATCGTTAGGGCCAGCCTTAATCCACTATGATCATGATTTTAAAAAGGGGAAATTTGGCTAGGCATGATGGCTCACACCTGTAATCCCAGCACTTTTGGAGGCCAAGGCAGGTGGATCACGAGGTCAGGAGTTCGAGACCAGCCTGACCAACACGGTAAAACCCTATCTCTACTAAAAATACAAGGATTAGCCGGGTGTGGTGGCATACACCTGTAATCCAAGCTACTCAGGAGGCTGAGGCAGGAGAACTGCTTGAACCTGGGAGATGGAGGTTGCAGTGAGCTGAGATCTGGTCTGTGTCAGCAGGGTTATGCTCCTGCTATAAAGCCAAGATTGCGCCACTGTACTCCACCCTGGGCGACAGACTGAGACTTCGTCTCAAAAAAAAAAAAAAAAACCTTGGCGGGGGCAGGATTTGGAAACAAATGCACACAGGGAAAAAGCCATTTAAAGACTGGAGCTTTAGCCGGGCGTGGTGGCTCACACCCGTAATTCCAATACTTTAGGAGACCAAGGCAGGTGGATCACTTGATGTCAGGAGTTTGAGACCAGCCTGGCCAACATAGCGAAACGCCGTCTCTACTAAAAATACAAAAACTAGCCAGGCGTGGTATCAGGCACCTGTAATCCCAGCTACTCCAGAGGCTGAGTCAGGAGAATCGCTTCAACCCAGGAGGTGAGATGGAGGTTGTATTGAGCCAAGATTGTGCCACTGCACTCCAGCCTGGGCAGCAAGAGTAAAACTCCATCTCGAAAACAAAACAAAACAAAACAAAAAAATTGGAGCTTTGCTGTCACAAGCCAAGAAACTAACAGAAGCTGAAGAGAGGCCTGAAACTGATCCTTCATTAGTGCCTTCACAGGGAGCATACCCCTGCTGAGACAGAGCAGAAATGGGACTTGGCCCACTCCCACTGACCACCAGACCTTGCAGCACCACCCTCCAGGTGCCATACTAGCTGACCAGACCTTGCCAACTGTCTGAGAAAAAATAAGATAAGCATCATTCCACCATAAGGGAGTTGAGTCTATCATCTGCTGGTGCACAAAGTCAGGAGAATGACCCTGGTCTTATGATAATACTTACCCCTGACCTCATGATAATACTAAAGTCCCCACCCAGGGAGGGGCTTATTGCCATTTTCTAATCATGCAACGTATGTGTTAGCATGATTCTTTACTGCATCTGATCACCGCCCCCCATATGTGTAATGACACTCACCTAACCCATAAATTATGCATGTCACCCTCCTTAAGAAACCACAATGCATTCCCCTCGGGGAGCCAGCCAAGAATCCTTCCTCCTGCACTGTCTCTCTTCTGCGCAATCTTTTGGGGCATAAGCCTTCATAAAGCCTTGTCTGGGAAACTTTGCTTGGCCTTGTATCAACTTCTGTTTCAAGGGAGCCTAAGAACATGTGATCAGGAACACTGCCAACATCTTTATTTCCAACTTCTGGACTTCGAAGCTGTGAGACAACAAATCTCTGTTGTTGTTTTAAGCTGCCCATTTTGTGGCACTTTGTTACAGCAGCCCTGGGAAACAAATGCAGGCACATTCTGCTCCATCTGCGACTCTCTCCAGACCACAGCTGCTACCCAAGCCCAGACTATGACAGGCTGAGGGACAGAAGCAGGACCCTTCGCAGGCTGCCATCAGTGATGGATGGTCACTTCCAGCCTTGACTGTCTGGGAGCTCCAGCCTCAGCTCTCAGTTTCCTGGAGCAAGAGGGAGGATGAGGACAAGGAGGAAAGAGGGTGTTGGCCTCCCAGGAACTGTCCCTGATCTTCTACCCTGCTGTCCCTGAAGCTGCCCCTGAACCTCCACCCTGAGCTCAGCCGAGAGCTGTCCCTAAGCCTCCACCCTGCTGTCCCCAGAACAATCATTGAGCCTCCACTGTGCTAGCTCAGAGCTCAGAAAGCCCAGGGCTGGTCAAACCCCACCCCTCACTCCTCCTCTGGCCCCTCCTTCCAGTCATCAATACTTTGCAACAGCCATCAAGCCCCTTTTAATCTCTAGAAAGGAGGAGCAGGAGAACACTGGGACCAGCTCCAGCCTCCATCCAGACAGGACCTCTGATCACTGCTCGGGGCCCCTTCTTAGGAGGTTCAGTCCCAGACGAGGGCTCCAGAGACTTCAGTCCATTTTCCCAAATGGACATGATGCATCAGGGACCTAGAGCGTCCAGGACCGAGGCTTGTTGAAGACAGGAGGTAGCAACATGCCCCGGAGGTCCTCATGCAGCCTGGGCCTCTGGCAGTGACCAGCCAGCATCCAGGCACCTCCTTCCTGGGTCTCCAGGCCCTGATGCTCACAGGAAAGGCCACGGGCCAGGGTTGGGATGGACCCAGAGCTCTGCATGTTTCTAGGGAAGGTTGAGGGGTGGCATCCCCCGTAGCAGTCCAAGACACCACAGTAGTCACTGCTGCTGCTGCTGCCCTCTGAGTTTGGGGGAGCTGGCCTGGTGGGGGACATGGGGGTCCAGTCCTCCTGTGGCAGATAGGCAAGCGTCTGTGCCCTCCACTCCGTACACCCTGCTGGCAGCACATCCTCTGAGCTCAGAGTCCCCAGGATGCTGGTCCCAGTGTTCTCCTGCTCCTCCTCCACGCACACAGATTTCCAGGGATACACTGGGCCACAGGTGAGCAGTGCAATGGCCTCCTGGACGCAGGGTTCCAAGGCTCCTCGTGAGGTGCCAGCACAGTCTTGGTTCAGCAGCACGCCGGTCCTGTGGGCCCCCATCCAAGTCTGGAACAGAGTGCGGGAGGAGGGAAGGGGTCAAGCAGCATGTTGAGAACTCATCCTGGGAGCAGCTGCCTCCTTTCTGGCAAGCCCAGCCTCCCTCCTCCTCCAGGAAGCCCTCCTGAAGTCCACACCCAGAGGCCAAGCAGCACCTGTGTCTTGAACATTCTGTCTTTGCTCCATGTGCCAGCCCAGCCTCAACATGGGACCCTGAGTCCCTTCAGGCCCTCATGACTCCCCCAGCACAGGGCCTGGTGCTCACAACAGCCTGAACTAAGGTACAGATGGTGATATCTGCCCAGGATAGAGCCAACGCTGACAGCATGTGCCTCAGGGCCTTTCAGCAGCTACTGAGACTGGGCACTCCTACCTGAAACACACACACACAGGAGTCACTGTCAGGACTGGTGACTTTCAAAGCACTTGGCTAAGACCAGCAGAACTGGATCCTTCTGTGGGGCCACAGGAGGCCTCCCACATCCAAAAAGAAGCTGTTCCCTTGGTGGGACCAGGAGCCTCCAGCCCATGCACCACACACACCACACCCTCCATCATTGCACTACTCTCTGGAGACCAACCTATGGCACCAGATCCCCGCCCGAGGGTCTAAATAAACCCTGGCAGGTGCCCTGGTTCTCTAGGGAAGGGCTGGTGCCTGCAACAGGATGACAGTCCAGGTGACCGTCACAATCTGTGCCCTGCTCAGCCTTGTCCTAAGCTGCCCAGGTTCTTGACAGTCACACCTACCACCTTAGGGAAAAAGACGGGTACTGTGAAAAGAGCCAGGTGCCAGTTCATGGTTCGAATTCTATTTTTGGACAAAAATCTTGAAAACTAGCCTCCTTATTGAGAGGGAAAAAGATTTTTCTGCACAGTAAGCAAGAACCGTGGTGTGGAGGGGACATCCTTGCCACAAAGGGTCCAGGGATGCCCGAGGGCATCCGGGAGTGAAGATCTGGAGAAGAGGGGTCAGCTTGGCCCAGACCCCAGGGAGGGGCCCTCACTGCTTCTTGTCCTTTGCCCAAAATGAGGAGTCTGAAGGGAAAAACCAGAGACCACTCACTGGAGCCCTCCCTCTCCCCCTCCTCCCACCCAGGGGCCATGAACCTCCAGCCCAGCAGGGAGGGGAGGGCCTGATGCAACCCCCAAGTTGCTCACTGGTTCCTCGGTTGTGGGAGCCCAACTTGGGGGGAAGGGAGGGACGTGCAGAGCCCACTGCTCAGCTGTGGTGCCAGCATGCGATCCGAGGGGGACCAGGGGACCAGGCAGAGCAGGAGCCCAGAGGCAGTGAGAGCCCCAGTGGCAGTGCATCCACCACAGACCCTTCCCCACAGACATCTTCGCAGAAGGAGGAGGTGAGGCACATGGTGGATGCAGACAGGTATAAACCAGAGGGGACAGAGATAAGTCACGAGACATTTACATTTTTTCCATCAACAATGAGACTGGAGACATGAGAACAGAACGACATCAGCAATGGGAAATAAAGCTAATTTTTTCCCCATTTGGAACATGGTATAAATCAAAATTCACTTAATATACAAAAAGGGCTCCAAGCACGGACAAGGCTGCCACATTGGCTGCCAACCCTCATGAAAGCTATCATCTTGGGCACGCCAGTTTCTAGTCAAGCCCTGCCCCCCACACCCTGCCGTGTTCTCTGCACAAACCTGGAAGTTCCCATTGTGCATATTGTAGAGGGGCTGGAAGAACGCCGCTGGAGAGGGCACGTTCCGGTAGAAGGTTCTCTTCACCCTGAGGCCAGGAGAGGCCAGTCAGAGGCCTATGGCAACCCAAGTGGCCTGAGGTCACTGCAGAGGCTGAGCCTCTCTTCTATCTCATCACATCTCAACCCACTCTCAGGTCAGGACCCATCTGGGCCTCCTTGCCTAATGGCCACATGGGACTGATTTATGCCGAGGCACACGTCCTTTACAGCGTGAGCTGCAATGGCAGGTTCAGAACAGAGAGTAGACCTCGTCAACTTCCCTGCAAGCCTGTCCCCATTTTCCCCACCTCAGGGATCACCACTCATATCTCATCCAGCCACATGTCCCCTCTATTTCTCCTCCTAAGACCCTGCAATTCCCTCTACTTTCCTGCCTCCAGCAGGTCTCCCATGTCCCCTTGTCCAGCAATCCATCCTTCAAAAGATAAACTAGGTTGTATCACACAGTTTCACACTTTCCTTTGCTCCAAGGAGAAGCCAAGTGCCCTCCCCCTTGGCCCCACCCAACTGCCCTCTCCCCACACCCTCTTCCTCACATCTGCTGCCTGACACGGCCCCAGTACCCTCTCTTGAAACCTGATATGCAGTGCATGAGGCATGATGGTTTATTTAAGGAGCGCCCTTGTCCAACTTGTTCTCTAATGCATCTGCCAGGGTGAGAACAGTGTCCTGTGCACACCAGATGCCCCAAATGTCCTTTCATAGAATGTATGAACAGATGAACAAACAGAGCTCCTCCATAGGCAGGAGACCAGGACGTTGGGCTCCTGATCTCCGTGATTCTGGGTTTGGTTGGGACCAAGCTGTCCTTATCTTCAGCCTCTGCCACAGATCCCCCTTCCCTTCTCTCCCCTGACAACTTGAGAACCCTCTTCTGGCCCACAGTGAAGACTTGAAAAGCCCACACCACTGTTAACCTCGACAGTGGAGGGGGAAGGGAGGAACCAGACAGAGGTGGCCCTTGATACCCCACCCACCACACACTCACACATGCACATAGAGATACATCTGCACACATACACTAAGACATGTACACCCTTACCCTTTCACACAAGTACACACACACACACATACACATACACACATCAGCTACCTACCTGGGCGACAGCTTGAACAGAAGGTAGATCAGGCCCGTCAGCAGGAGAAAGACAGACACACCAACAA